TTCCCGGGCGAGGCAGATCAGTCGCCGGCTTCTGGACGGCCGCTCACTGCGGCTGCTGGCCGCTCACGCCGGCTGCTGGCTACACATGGTAGGTAGCCCATGGCAACCCACTGCCACAGGGACTGCAGCCCACGCCATCGCCGGTTACTCACAGCAGCCCAGCTCCAGGTTGAGCCGCTGCTCAGCATCTCAGCTGCAGAGGGCAGTCACTGGCCCTCATATGTGGGATCCGAACCGGGGCCCTCTGGCGTCCCAAGCCAGTTCTTAACCATCGCGCCACTCGGCCGGCCCCGTCACCCAGCTTTGACGGAGCCTCTTCTGGGGCTTCCTTCCTGTGGGGCAGCCTGAGTTTTCAACCCCACCCCCTGAGCCTCATACCCTGTGAAGTACCTGGAGGAAAAAAACACAATATCCCACCTATATTTGCTAAACCTGGCATACCAAAGTACTGCAAACCGAGTGGCTTAAACCACAAATTCATGTTCTCACAATTCTAGAGGCAAGAAGTCTAAGATCAAGGTGATGGCAGGGCTTTTTTTCTTTTGAGACCGCTCTGCTTGGCTTGTAGATGGTGTCTTCTCCCCGTGCCTTCACATCATCTTCCCTCTGTGCGTGTCTGTGTCCTAACGCCCTATTCTTATAAGGTCACCAGTTATATTGGTTTAGGGCCTACCTCGATGACCTAGATGAAGATAATTGACCTTGATTACTGTTTAAAGGCCCTATCTGCAAACACAGTCACATTCTGAGGTGCTAGGGGATAGGACCTCAACATGTGAATTTCGGGGTACACAATTAAGCCCCTAACACCATTTTACAGGTGTTGCAACTGAGGCCCAAGAGGGTCAATGGCTTGTAGCAAGCAAAGCCAGGCCTAGAATCAGGTCAGGAGACCCTCCCTCTGGCCTCCTTCCCGGGATCTCCCTACCTCCAACGGGGCCACCACTGGCCTGCCCTGAAGAGGAAGAGATGGTGGGCAGGGGCCATCCTTAATCTGCTTCCCCACCAATCCTCAGAGTTGATGGGAAGTGAAACGTCAGGCGCAGGCGGGAAGGGGCGTGCAGACTGGGCCAGCGCCTCTCTGGGGCAGCGCTTTTAAACCTTCACATGCACAGGCATCACCTGGGGGGCTTGTTAAACTGCAGGTGCTGAGTTAGCCTGCCTCGGGAAGGGCCTGGGAATCTGCATTTCTAACGAGCTCCCAGATGATTGCGATGCTCTTGGTCCACAGGCCACCCTTTGAGGAGCGGCAAGGTTGAGGCCAGCCCTGCCCATGAGAAATATAATGGGAGCCATTAAAATTCAACTAAAGTTTAAAAAATGTGAATTTTCTAATAACCACGTCTCAAGAAAGAGACGTGGTTATTAGAAAGAAACAAGTGA